GAATAATTAAACAGTCATAAAAAGGAGATTTTTCTCATCACTGAGTGAATATCTGAGAGCATATCAATGTGACTGATGAATATTTTAGCATTAACTCACCATAAATACCAAACTAAAGATTACAGACTACTTTTTGATTTGAAAAGCTTTTATAGTCTTCTGCAAAATACCTCATTTTCATCTCCTGTCTCATATAAATATCTCATATTTATGTCTTGCATTTTTAACTCACCCAAGGGAAGATTCCTTAAGGCATTTAATGTAATTTGCTCAGATGTATCTCTTGGTGAAATGTTATTTGATTGGTGAGGAAGATCCCTTTGGCTGGTTTGGGTCAGCTGTCCGGGCTGTGTCCCCTCCCCATCTCCTGCCCACCCCCAGCCCACTCACGGGGGCACAGGCAGAGTGGAAAAAGGAGCGAGCCTCGAGGCTGTGCCGGCAGGGATCAGCCACAGCCAAAACACTGGTCCATTATCTACACTCTTAGCCACGGACCCGAAACACAGCAGCATACGGGCTGCGATGAAGAAACTCCATCCCAGCCAGACCAAATAAACCAATACAAGTTTCAATTTAATGTACTTGGCTAGGTTAAGTCTTGTGTTGGTATCGGACAATCATAACTGACACTTAGAAAACAGGAACGGAACAAAAATAACCATGTAGTTAGCCTCAGCCAAACATTATAGTACCAAAAGATACTGAATGCCTTTTATGTTCTGAATTGTGGCCCAGTCCTTAAAGCTCAGATTGTGCTTCTGAAAAACAAGATTCCACTTTACTTGCAATAATTTAATTTAATTTATGTGGTAAACAGGTTACTAATTTTCTGCCTCAAACTTTGAAAATTTTATTTTTCTTATGTTTTGTGGATGAGAAATTAGGTCACCTAAAGCAAAAACGTCACTGAGACCACTAACTCCGGTATTGTTTTTCAGCTCTGGATAAAGAGCTTGAGATGCGTATTATGATCAGATAAGACTGTGGTAATTTTTTATGTCAGGGATATTTAAAACCTTAACAGAAATAATACTGCTAGGATTAGGATAGCTGCACTAATGGTTATAGTTCACATTTGTAAAATACGTAAATGAGTCTTAGTTGCATTAAAGCTGTGTAACCACCCTGTGACCTTTGGTATTTATGTTTAAGTACAAACTTGTTACCAACTGCATGAGGTGAGTAACAGGAAGAGATCTTGAAGATATCTTTTAATTCCCTCTTAGCTGCTTATGTACACAAATTTCAGTAATTCAAATACATCTTCACAAACATGCTATTTCTCCAGTGCTTTTTTGCCCATGTCTAGAGGTGCAGGTAATATTCAGGGAACATGATAAAGAATAAATCAAATTCTGCATTCCAGTATTAAGATGTATGCTTTCCTATAATTTAAATTATTCCATTTGTACTTCACTGAAAACATATTCAGTATTTAACACACAAATTTGTTCTCCAGCAGCAGTATCATCTATTTCAAAGGCATGAAGTCAAATGCAGCTAAGATAAAATTTCTTTATTTTTTGTCTTATATTTACCCATTGCAGTGAAACCTCACAAAAAAATTCTTCATCTACTACCAGTGCCATAAGCAAGGAAGTTTCTTAATGTTTTCTTTGAATGGCAGCTCCCTCGCAGTTTTCAAATGTTTATGGCCTCTTGTTCAAACGTGTAGATACCAAAACCATCAGATCAACACATTCTTTTTACACATGCCATTTTATTCCCTTTACAGAACAGAATTTAACACTAGCAATTTCCCTGTTTATTAACAGTGATGAATACAGTTAATGAATCTGCTTCTTCCTGAAAATTTAGACATAAAATTACTTGCCTGATAACCCTAGATGAGAGAAAAAAGCAGGCACTATCAGATAACTGAAATAAAAGAAGGGAACATGATACCATAAGATACACAAAACCACTGGAAGATTCTCAGGATCTTCTTTTTCAGATGGTTAAGTATCTCAGCTAGAAATTTATAATACAGCTCATACAGCATTGTTGAATAAATTCAGCATACTTGTTGGATGAACTGTAGGCAAACATACAGTAACAATCAATAGAGTGGGAATATGCACATCAGGTTAATTTCCCATAGAGTTGCTGCTTTTTTGCCAATACCTTACATTTCTATAAACATTTTCCTTCCCACTAATAATACTGATTTCTAATTTCCTACTGGTGTATGAAAACACTTAGAAATAAAGGTAACTGTACAAAGGAAACTGGAACCAGATATATGCAAAGCTCTGGGGTGCCCAAGTAAGCAAACATCTGCTGGGAGGGAAATTTCTGCAGCTGAGATACAGTGATATTGAAACTTCTCTGTAACTACAGCGGATCAGATTTCAGACACAGACATAGGCACCTAGCACCTGTTTAAGAAAACTGCCTGACCTCCAGCTGCTACTTCAGAAAGTTTTCAGTAGGTCCTGTGTCATATTTGTGGATGTTTTTAGTAATGTGGGATATGTAAAATAGTAAAAGCCACCAATTAAGCATGATTTCTAGAGATAACATCTATTTGAATAGAAGAACTGACACAAACAACACACTACTGTAGTATGATGGATACCGGTTAAAAAAAAAAAAAAGGCAAACTTTTAACTTGCTTCATTCTTCCTTGTAAATATCTTAATAGAATCCACAGTTTTAAATAGAAGAAATTAAAGAAATTTAGGACATGACAGACACATTCCATTACTTTGAGTTTTGTAGGAAGTCAAGTCATTGTAATGGTATCTATTCTAAGTCATGTAGTTCATCCACTTAGGCCAAAACAAGAGGATGCAAAGTGTTTTGAGCAAAGAAAGTAAGTTTTTTTGGCACAACATTTTGGACTTTACAAAGCATATGCATTATCCACTCTCCCTATTCTTGTGGGATCTAAAGAAAATCTAGAGAGAAAGGCAAAGAAGAAAAATAAATAGTAACATGATACTGAATTTTATTTTTGATACTTGTGCTTTTGTAGCACATTATTCACTGAAAAAACCAAACCCCTTCATAATTCACCCTCAGGAAAAGCACAAAAAGGCAGCAGTCTATCTCCAAGTTTGGGAACTATGGCAGGTCTGCAAAGCCATTTAGCATGCATGATCATGGCAAAGAAGCTCTCGAGGACTGTGCTAGAAGTTTTGAAAGTCAAGTTTTTTGAGTCTTCCAGGAGATGCCAATTTGACTTAGAAAGGCTGAAAGGCTTTATTTAAAATAGGGTTTCTCCTTCTGCCCAAGAAAGCCATCACTGCTCACCTGACAGCACCCTGGTAGTGTTGTGCCACAAGTGGGGTCGTTTACCCCGTGCGCAAAACGCCAATTACACACAGAGCAGAGGTATTTTATTCCAATTCATATTTGCGCAAAGATGGGGGCTAGGTGGTAATCCACAAAGCTAGCACCCCTCATGCCTACATGGGCAAGCACTTTATACAGTTCAGTTATACATATTCCATTTCCAAAGTTCTTCCCCAAAACTATTACTGGGAGTCACTTATCTAGTACAGTTTCTATTGGGTTAAAGTTTCCCTCCTTCAAATTAAAGGTAGTGTTCTTTTATTCCACAGCGCAAGTGTTGTGGTCTTCAATTGAGTCGGTGGTCGTGATCTCCCCCTGCCGCCTTTACCTTTCCTCCAGTTATCAAAGATTTTGGCTGACTTCATGCCTATTAGCAATTTTTCAGCTTCTCTGCGCCTCCTAGGGTAGGATGTTCCCTTTTTATCAGTCTTTGAGTTCTCCTTCAGGGGCCCAGCCGTTAGCAAGGCATGCCTTGCATATGCAAAGGATATCTTATTTCACAAGACCTCTGTGGTCTTCTTAAGTAAATCACTCCTTAAGTGTATCACTTCTCAAGTACATCTTTTCTTAGGTACATCAGTAGGATGCCAAGCCCCTGAAACAGATGAGGTAGTACCAGAACACTCACAGAAGTGAAATTAAAACAGTTGATTTAAGGAGTTTATGCAACTGCTTTACCCTCTCTGATGCTCACTTTCCATTGCTGTCACAGAAGCCATTAGGGCCCATCTGAACTTCAAGGCAATTACAGGTCAGGCGCTGAAAGCTCCTTCTTAAAAACTTTAACAGCAGTTGAGCTACTGGGAGGGAGCTGGCTGGTTACTAATGCCTACCAGGGTGCCGGGCACTGCCAGAACGCCCGCTGCTTTTCCTTCTTTAGAAGCCTGTGCACCGTTTGGGGGGCCGCAGTACACGGGCCCCGCTGACAGAGAAAGGGTCTGCGGCTCGGGGGAACGACCACCCGGGAGGACTAGCGCCGTGGCTGGCGCTGCCCCGGACAGTGCTACGGGAAGTTGCCATTGACAGTCTTGTAGCGGAGACGGAGAGCAGCGCAGCCCGCCCCCACCTCCACCTCCACCTCCACCACCACCCTCCTTCTCCACACAGCTCGCCTCCCTTCAACAAGATGGCGGCCCTTCCCACTCGCCTCCTTTACCAACATGGCGGCTCGAACCCCCATTGGCTCCCGCCCCCCGCCCCCGCCCCGCTATAGGCTGAGCCACCGGCTTTCCCCCACCCCCTTCCCTGACGCGGCCTCGCCACGAGTTGGGAACTACACTACCCAGGATACCCCGCGCCGATCTCGCGAGAGTTCCCGGCGGGCCGGGGCGGGGCAGGGCAGAGGCGGGCAGGCGGGCGGGCGGCGGGGAAGGGGCGAGGCGCGGCGCCGGGCCGCCCTGCGCAGGAAACGAAACCGCCCGAGCGGCTGAGGGGCAGGGCCGCGCTCTGCCTTGGCCGGAGACCGTTCGGTCCTGGGCCCCATGGCGGCCGCGGAGGCGGCTGCCGCTGCTGCTGCCGCGCCTGCGGAGGCGGTGGCGGCGCTGGATCCTAGCGGGCTTTCCCCGAAGGAGGAAGGGGAGCTGGAAGACGGCGAAATCAGCGACGATGACAACAACGGCTTCGGGCCCTGTGGCGGCGGCGGCGGCGGCGAGCCCGGCGGCGGCCTCGTCAGCAGCAGGCCCTACTCGAGGCGCAGGCCGCCTCCCGGCCTCCGCGGGGGCATCTCCCTCTCTTCCTCCTCTTCCTCCTCCTCCTCCTCCGGCCGGCCCTTCCCCCGCTCGCGGCACCAGCCCCCGCCGGAGATGGGGCACCTGCACGGCCACGGCGGGTATCGGCCCAAGGACTCGTTCCGCTCCCACCCGCCGCCCATGCCGGCGCCGCGGATGCCGTCGGGTTCGCATTCCGAGACGGGCCCCCGGCTCTCATTTTGGGAACGCAGTCACAGTGCCTTGGATCGATTCCGCTTCCGAGGCCGGCCCTACAGGGGAGGAGGGCGCTGGGGTAGGAGCCGAGGCAGCGGCGATCGGGGAGGCAACCCTCCGGGGAGGCCGCCCGGAGGGGGAGGCGGTGCCGGATTCGGTGGCAGCCAGGGCTGGAGGGAGCCCTCGCCTCGAAAATGTATCCTTGAGACGTGAGAGGCAGGGGAAGGCGGGGAGGCCGTGCTGCTGGGGTGGGCCTGGGGGTGTTGGTGGCGAGAGCCCCGGGAAGGGCCGGTTTTCCTTCCCGTCCTGGCAGCAGGACTCCCGTAGAGGTAATGGGGCAGGGGGGGTTGCTCCCCTTCCAGTCCCAGGATCTGGCTGGGGCAGCAGGCCCTGCTTCTCGAGGAGAGGCTGCTGGGAAGCCGGATTTACTGCCGTGACCTGGCTTGCGACCTGGCCCATCAGTCCCGTCTAGGGAAAAAGTGTAGCCTGAAACAAAGCCTTAGTCGATCGGATCCCAGGTGGCTGCTTTTCTAGCCCGAAGTGCGAATCTTGTGAAGCAGGGTCAGTCTTTGGTGCGGCAGTTTTAATGTATATAATTAAACTGTCACAGTTGTTAAGCTAAAACCCTAAGCTTGTTAATTTCCCTTATTGGGCAATGAAGGATCCACTGTTTTTTCATATTCGCTTCCAGCCCTTCAGAGGTTCTCACACATAGCTAAAGCTAACTTTAAAGCTAAACCTAAGTTGAACTGGGACTGTGTGCACAGAATGTGGTTTATACTGAAGTTTGGATAACATAGGAAAGCTCTATTTCTCTATAAGGCCATACCCAGCATTCCTTGTAGGATGTTCTCCACTGATCGCTCTTAGAGTTGCTTAGGTGGCTTTTAATAGTGTTCTAATATTTTCTCCTTTTAGGAGTAGGAACTGCAAAAGTGGTGGAACAAGCTCCTCTCAGTGTAACTTAGGGGCTGCCTGGTACTGAAACTTGATGTAACTGTGCTGTTGCCTCACTGAAAATGTAGACGAGTGTAAAAAACACCCTGAGCCAGAGAACTAGTGGTTAAAACCTATTCTCCAGAATCTTAGTGTTTTATTGTCCTCCATACCGATGGTCAAAGGATGTGTGTTCCTTGTTTGACTCTTCTGGTTGATCTCAGGAACAGGAATTTTTCCTACTTGTGCCAGCACTTAAGGCTTTGAAAGCTACTCATTGGATCATTGTGTTACTTTAGATACAATATTATCTATCAGTGTCATTAATTTTTTTTTTAGTGTGGATGGAGTATGTAAACTAGTGATAAAGAGATGCTTTTATTTAATCTGATCTGGTAAAGTTACAGTGTTACTGAAGTCTTCATAAGAAATCTTCGTTCAAGGATCTTATCTCGAGAGGCAGTGAGTGAAGGTGTGATTTGCCTAAGGTCGCACGGTAAGACTGTTCTAGTGCTGAAAATAGATTTTAAATCTCTTAATTTGCAGTGTTGCTCTGAGTACCAGAAAACGGTCACTTTCTGTGTAATGAGTAATTTGCAGGGCAAACTTATTGATCATCCTAAACAGACCTTGCAATGCTTGTTAATACCGATACAGTCTCCTGCTCCCTTTTAATAGAGCATTCAGAAATGGATAATTCCATTTTCAAACCAAAAGCAGAAAATGAGCAAGTCTTCTCCCCTCCCCCAATACTTAAGATGCACTCTTCTGTTTAAACATGATAGAGAAGGTTCTAATACTATTGCTGTTTAATAAGTGACATTCAGTTGTTCATGGATCATACAGTTAAGGAAGGCCCATGATTTTCTCTCAATCTAAGTAATTTTCTGTATTTTTCATATCCTTGCCACCTAAAGGAGTCAATATTACAGTATTCCTAAATATTACAGTACCTCCATGTTGCTAATATTAATGGAGTAGGGGTGTAGTTCATGGGCATGTGACTTCAGAAGAGACCTTCACATCAACTGGTACAAGGAGACTTGTGGCGTGGAGTGGTATTTGGAGTTCCCCCAGGAAAGTGAAATGTTTTAAGTGTCTGCTGAGAGAGAGAGAGATGGCTTTTTCTTCTTTATCTTTGGAACTAGTACTTTGCGCCGTGCTTTGTAGGAGTATATGTGTAAATGGAGTAAATGACACAGTGGAACACTTCAAGAGTTCTTGTTACTTTTCTTTGGGTATTAGCTTTTAATATGCTTTTCTTTTAATTCCCAGCAACTTTGAGCACAAAGCTGTTGCATAGTCATTCTGCAGAAATTCTTGCATGGAGAATTGTGGAATTTTGAGTCTGAAATACAAGACCAAATTATGACTTCCTGTTTCCATTGAATTCTGAGCCCTTCACAGTGTACATATTTCTTCACTTCTAACCCCCCAATTTCTTCAGTTGGTCTCTCTTTTTTTTTGTTGTTGTTGTAGGATGAAGTCTCTTGAATTGATTGAAGAATAACTGTTGTTTTAATGTATATGTGCCTGTCTGTCTTTCATAGCATTCCATGTAGTCTTGCATTCTGTGTGTAGATCCATGTATAAAAAAAATTTCTATGTATGTGAAACACAGAATTTCTGATTAATACCGTTGTGGGAGCTCTAGCAATTGTGTTATCCCGAGCACAAAAAAAATCTCAAAGCTTTGTCTTGTTACCCAACTCTAGATGACTCTACAAGCTATTGAAGTATTTCAATATCAAATAATAGTTAGACTTATTTTTATAAGTGATGTTAAATCTCTTAATTAGCTTCAGACTTTCCTGTGACTCACAAAATCACTAATGTAGTTGTCTTTTTGGACGTAGAAATGTGTTGGAAGTCAATTTGGCAAATACACTTATTACATAATTTGGTGCTATACTGCACACAGCTCTTGGTATTTTCAGCATATTTATAGATTGTTTGATTGCCTGCTGGGATTTTATGTAGTTTATCTTTACTAGTTTCTGCTTTTTGTGCTGACACTTAAGAAAGCATTGTATAGCAGAACATTTCCTGATACTACAGAAGTTGCTTTTGTAGGATACATACCAAGCTTCTTCATACTTACATTAGAAGTTAACATAGTGAAGCATCTGAGTTGTTAATGCACGTTGTGAGCAGAAGACAAATACAAAGTTATCTTCCTCTGGATTCAGTATGCCTGCATTCAGAGGACACCTATTTTAGCTTTTAGTTTTACTCAATTTATTGTTTTAAGAGATGACATTGATGAAAAAGCATTTTGCATAACTGGGTGTGAGTCAGCTGTTATCGCAGCAGGGTTGATACTGAAAGTCAAATGAGTCAAACCTGACTCGGTATCCAAAAAGATTTCCCCTCGAGCATGATTATTTTACAGGATAGTTTAGCTTTTCAAGTGTCAGGTTAAGGTAAGAGGAAGTGAACCTTTAATAATGAGAACTTTTATTCAGGATACAATTGCCTAAGAATATTTGCATTGCCTGCCTTGGACAACATGTTGTCAAGAAAATCTATCCCTTGGGCATGTATAGACAACCTTTTCTGAGTAATTAGTAATTCCCAATCCTCTTTTAGCATTTTTTGAATGTTTTGATTGCAAGGCTTTAGCCACTTTTTTTATTCCCTTCAGTAGTTGATTATTCTCTGCCTTACCTCATTTGTTGAGTTACAGTTACTGCAGTGCATAATTGTATTGTGGCTAGACTTAGAATTTTATGAAAGGATAAAATGAGTGAGAATTAATTTAGCCTATCTTCAATACTTGAGTTACGAACTTTGTAAGTCTGACTGTGATAGGGAACCTTTCCAGCTGTTGTTTCTGGGAGGATGGTGTGAGCAAGAGACAAGACTTCTCAGCAATTCATGAAATTCTTGTCATAAGTAGGATATTTTAAATTGCTGGTTTCAGAAAATGTTTATTTAAGCTGTTAATATATAATAATGGCTACATCTTTTGCATGCTGCTTGTATTTATAAGGGATATTTTTCAAGGTAGCCTTAAGGTAAAATGAAAATATATGAGAATGATCTTAAGTCTGCTTGTCATAATTTAGTCTTCAGTGGTAATATCGCCACTGTTTTAAGGTTATACATGTTCTTGTCTTAGTTTTCTTGACCAGTAATTCAGCCAAAACTTTTGGAAGGTCTCCATCTAGAAAGCAGAACTACTCTTCTAAAAATGAAAACTCTGTAGAAGAAAGTTTTGAGGATCTGCTCTTGAAGTATAAGCAGATACAATTAGAGCTTGAATACATTAATAAAGATGAACGACTGGCTTTGAGCAACAGGGAAGAAAATGAACAACAAGATGATGATAAAACAGCAGACACTGAGGACCAAATAACTGTAGAAAATGACAGTATTACAACGGATGCTATAAAAGAAATATCTCCTGAGGAGAAAAATCCGGTTATAGCCTTTCAGGCATTTGAACTGAAACCTCTCAGACAAAAACTGCCTACTCCAGCTGAGAGGAGCAGGTTAAAAAAAGGCAAAGAAGGAACGAAACAGTCATCGCAAAAATCTGAAGTCACAGAATCTGGCCAAGGTAAGTACTTGTAAAGTTGTTTTAGCTTGTGAAGTTCTTTTTGCTTGCCATTATCTGTCATATTTATTAGGTGCGGGGGAAAACTGTTTTTGTTGTTTTTTTAATTAATGTGTTTTCTTAGACTAACTGATAGTTAAGCATGAGGACAAGACTTGAAGGTTTTAGTTGCTGTTCAGAGCAGAAATCATTGGCTTTCACTGAAAGTTTTTCTTCTGTTTTTCCCATGTTCTTTTTGCAGAAGCAAAATGTGGGGTTTTTAGCTGAAAAGATAACATTTAGAGACATCTTTTTCTGCATTTCATCTTTATGTGCTTCCTTTAGTGTAACAAGCCTTTATGAGATATTTTCACCAGAATTATTTTGGTCATTATTGATATTCATGAATAGTGAAGAAATCATGGGCCAGAAGTAGAAAGGATTTGTAGAAGAAATGTAGCAGAAGGGTAGAATAAGTTTCATGTCCAGGTAGTTCTGGACTGCAAGCCAAAGAGCATAATTGCTCAGATGCATGAAGTAGTTAGTGAGAAACAAGTTATCGTGTCCAGCTGACCTGTGGTAAAAGTCCTTGAACTTACTTTTAAGTCTGCAGCAAAATAAGGCAGCTAGCTTAAGCTTCCTGTTCTGAGGCTTCATCTAGTTCTAATAAGTATTTGCTGTGGTTGAGGGTGTGCTTGTGGATATCACCTGTCATCTTATGTTAGCTAATTTGTCAATGTGTGTAAACTATCAATTTGAGTGGGAAGAGACAAAGTAGTAAATGGATGGGTTAAGACTACAGGTGAGTAATTAGTAGGACTATGAAGAAAGGTAGGACTAGAGCAGTGAAAGTCAGAATGATTTATATGTAACTTCAGAATGAGAATTTAGAAGACAAAGCCTGTAAATAAACCAAAAGAGAAAACTGATAATTAGTGGTTAAACCACCTCATTCTAGGTGTTTTTTCCCCCTTGTCTTTCCCATTAATAAAAAAAAAAGGGAAAAAAATAGATTCTGATATTCTTTAAGAGATAATGCAGTTTTTAATGGGAGACATGAGGAAAAACAACAGATCTTGACCATAGAAGAAAAACCAGTAGCCTGCAGGAAGAGAACATGGCAAGGCAGGAGTAAAAGAGCTATTTAAAAAGCAAAACAGTTTAAAAAAAAAAAAGCCAACTTCAAAACTTAGGAGCACTGAAGTTGAAAATACAGTTCATATGATAGTGAAAAGAGATGCTATAGTATGCACATTAAGAGCATCTTAATTTTTGCACACCACTTAAATGTATGACATAAGAATGGTCTGAAAGCAAACAGATTAAGTGTGAGAGTGACCATTCATGAGAATGTAATACAGGCTTCCAAAGTGGAAAAACCCAGCTGATTTGAGTTACTGCAGATTCATGTGTATCAAGTGAATGTATACTACTTGATTATGCATATATTAGAAAATTAGCAAAATTTGGTTTTCCCATTATATTTATTTTCAAATGGTGTACTGGATGTTTCTCCAGACTTGTTGAAGTTGAACTTAAAACTCAGGGAAGTTTGTGTCTCTTTCAAGAATTAATTCTTCGTGGTTCTGCTGTTCTGACAGGGGCTTCACAGTATTGCCTGCTTTCCTTCCCTCATTGCCCATTAGTCTGTTCTGCCTGTGTTGTCCCCTTCTGGTTTGAAAGAGCATTTTAGTTTGTGTAGTATGTCCCTGCATATGTCTGTCTGCATCACAGAAACTACTGTACCATCCGTGTCTCCCTACTTCCATCCTGTGGACTGAAATTTTAGGATCTTTTCTTAGTGTAATAACCTTTTTGAATTTTCTTTTAGAATACATATGTGTATTAGATATTATTTTTCTTTGTCTTGTATGTGTGCTTCTAAAAAATGCATGCATGTGCAAGCGGGAAGACCTTTAGCGTTTGCTACATGCCATTTTTGTTTAGGTATAAGGTCTTGGTATATTTTAAACTGTGCCTTTCTGAATGTGACTTTGTAAAATGCTAGGAAGGTTAAAAGCTGTATGGAGTGGAAACTTATTTTCTACCAATTTGAATTGTGGGAAGGAATCTCTTTGAAGAAAGGCTAATAATGGAAAATATGTCCAAGCTTCTCTCTAAATGTTTATTTCCTCCTCTGATGCAGATAAATGTATATATGTGTGGTTATATATAAATTATATAATTATAATTTTGCTATCAATTATATTAATAGTTATTAGCTATAATCCTTAAATTATGTAATGATATAATATACAGCATTATGTATATTATATAATAATGTGTATCCGTATACACTATATAATAATGTGTATCCGTATACACTATATAATAAATACAGCTTTTGGGCAGTCCAACAAATTAGTATGTCAACATCTTAATGTTTAGCAGAAAAGTATTACTATTCACTATTCATTTCTGTAGCATAACTCTTTTCTGTTTTCCTTTGGCATGAAATGGAGCAAGTGTGTTCTTACTGCAGCTTTGGGCCTTTATATTTAATTCTGCAAAAGACTGACCAGTTACCCAAAATAGCTGCCAGTGGAATCTGAGATGCTAAGGACAGCAGCTGACGTGACATGTTAGCATAAAATAGATGGCAAGAAGCCTTCTTTTCCCCTTGTCTCCAAATCTTTTTGTCTCCAGAGTTTTTCTCTGCTTCTTGGGGAAGTACGTGTCAACCTTAAGACAGAGAATTATTAAAAAATGACAAATCTTGCCTTAGGCTTATGCCGTCTTGATGATGTGGATTTCATGAGACATGCCAAGTTTATATTAATGTTTGTTAATGTGATCTTATACATACAACTGCCTATTCTGTTTTACAGTATATACCAATGATACTGATAAAATATGTTTGTATGGATTAAATTCTGCACTTCATTTTAATGTATTTCTGTCTCATGAGAAACAACTCACTCAAAAATATGGTATTTTTCTTTTGGCAGGTACAGAAGACAAAGAACAAACATCAGTGCGAAAGCTTAGCAGTTCAGATGTTACATCTGAAAAGGTGAGAAAGTATTCCTCCGTAGATGAGGCATAATTGCATTATGATACTCTGATGGCTTTTCCAAATTGCAGTCCTGAAATATTTCAGTAATAGAAACAGTCCAGTCTTAAGGAATGACACTTAAGAGTACAGTAGGATTTTTAAGCTTTCTCGTGGTAAAAATTTTGGCACAGACTTCAAAATACTTTTTCAAAATAGTTTTAGTTATTAAATGATGTTTCTTGACTTTGTCTTACCCTTTCTTCTCTTTTTTTCTCAAGAAGCTGCTTGATGATGAGGAGGAGATGTCTGAATTGCAACTTAGGCTTCTTGCACTTCAGTCTGCTAGTAAAAAATGGCAGCAAAAAGAGCAACAGGTGATGAAGGAAAGCAAGGAAAAATTAACAAAAACGAAAAGTGTAACACAGAAAGTCAAAGCCAGTACAAAAGCACATTCAACAAAAAAACCTAGTGCTACAGGTAATAAGTTTAACGTTACTGAAATGGCTATCAATGGCATGACCTCTGAAATGAAAAAAAAATAGTATGTTTTGTGAAACATTGGGCAATGAGCCTTTAATCCTTCTAAAACCCCATACATCTACTCAAAGCTCTAGGATTAGGGGGAACCATTTAGGTAAGGTGCAGTTAATCATGTATCTTTTTATTTAAAGCCAAGCAGGCTTTGAGGAAACAACAGACGAAGACGTCAAAAAAGATGCAGCAGCAAAAGGAACAAGACAGGCGTCAGAAAGAGGAGGACCAGAGGAAACAAGAAGAGGAAGAGGAGAGAAGAAAGAGAGAAGAAGAAATCAGAAAAATTAGGGACCTCTCAAATCAAGAAGAGCAGTACAATCGATTTATGAAGCTAGTTGGAGGAAAGAGGAGATCAAGAAGCAGGGTAACAAATTTGTTATATGGTGTTCAAGTGTTATATTTGAGATTCATGAGTGATTTCTGTCTTGTCCCTCCTGGTTCTATGTCCCTTCTGCCTCCCCTTAAAAAAAAAAAAGAAAAGGGAAAGAAAAGCTCAACATACTTCAGTGCTTCCAGTGTTTCAATCCCATGCTAGACAGGGATTCCCTTTGGGTTTGGTAAGATCAGTTTTGTACGAATTGTACATTTGCAAGTCAGTGGTAAAGCATTTTCGTCCTAAAGATATTTTGAATGTTGTGATCAAAGAGCAGTCTGTAATTTGACGCAAACCAGTCAATCAAACTTTCTTGGCTTTCTTCTCTTAGATTGCAGTTTTGTCTCCATCTTCAAACTTTTTGTGTCAATACAACTTCAGTGGCCTGCTTCTTTCAAAATACCAGCTGAGGGTTGGTTTCTTTTTAGTATTCTTTAATTTGTCAAGGTACAGAAAATGCTCAGACACAAAAGAGAATTACTTCAGCCTCGTTACAGGATGGCAGTTGTGTCAAATTTATGAAGGAATAGAGTTACTGCAGTAGTCATCATGCTACACTTGTAGACTGTCTTCATTCTCTCACCTTGAGATTAGCAAAAGGCACTTGAATCACTAATGTTCTGTCTCTAAAACATTGATACACTACAGAAAAAATGACTTCATGAATTTTTTCATCATGGAAGCAGTACAGCTGCTGCAGCTAGATGCTTCAAGTGCTTGGAGCTACTGATGCTGTAAGGAGAAATGAAACTGCAACTAAGGGAATTGGGGCTCCCTATCTGAGGTCATGTTATAGAAGAGTGCCATTTATAATAATAATGAGTGGAAAGTTGAGGCTAAAAGTGTTTAACTCTAAACAGTAGAAATTCTAAAAGCTACCAAAATGTCTATTGCATGTCTTTGAAAGATACAAATTGAGGAGTCTAAGAAGTCATATTTACCTGTTCTCCATATTTTCAGTGTTCACTGAACATTGTTTAAAGAATGCCTAAAACTATATGGATGCCAATCAATCTGATTTATTAGTTGACAGTCTCTGGGGATGTTTCAGTGTGGTATGTGGCTTCTTTGGGACAATAAAAGGATTCTGCATCTGAGACATCAGTCTTGGAACAATCAGAACATGTTTCACCTAAACACACCTTTGTCATGATGAAGATTATCCTAGTGCAATTTTGTGGTGTTTGTAACAAGGGTAGTTCAAGTGCTCTTGGTAATTGCCATGGCAGATTAACAGAAATAATAAAGCATTTAATTCTCTTCAGGTGTTTCAGCAATATATAACCATGGCAATTTACTAGATACATAATGACCTAATAGGTGTTTAAAAATTGCTTCTGTGTATCATGACAACCCCCCACCCCCAAAGAGATCCGGTTTTAAAACTGCCTGTTAATTTGTGAAGTCACTACCTGCAATGGATTTGATTAAAAGGTAATCTTCAGTTTGCTCTTTTTGTATAAGCTAAGTAAATTGCATTTATAAAGCAATTAGAAGTCAAAATTATGAGGGCCTGTTTCTAAAATTTACTTTTAATTGGTTTGCTCTAAACGAATAACATAAGACCGACTAAATAAAATACACTTTTTTGTGTGTTTAGTCTTCAGATACGGACTTGAGATGGTCTTTGGATAAGCAGTCTACAGATAGTGCAGGAGGCATATATCAGTATGATAATTATGATGAAGTTGCTATGGATACAGATAGTGAAACTAACTCTCCAGGTAAGACTTATTTACAGTTTTCTTATATGGCGATTGGTAAAAATAGTTAAGAAGTAAGAAATGAGCTATCCTTTTAGAAGGAAAGTCTGTCTTTTGAGATGTGGCAGTCATAGAACTAACATTTTAAGGTGAGCTAATTTTGTCTTGTTTTAATGCTGACTCTTCTCTGTCTCTGCTGTAGTGGTATTTTGAAGGTCTTCAAGGTTATACTGTTCTCATTGCAGTACTGTAGAGTTTGTTCTTTTACATTCTGAAGCAGCTGTGTAGAAAGTAAGGGCCCCAGGGTGTTGACTGGATAGACAGCAACTTTGCAAAAAAGGGCCTGGGAGTCCCAATGAACATTAGGTGAAATGTGAGTCAGCAGTGTGGCTTTGGGTGATAAAGGCGAACTGCAGCCTGGGTTGTAGCGCTGTGACTATAATGAGTGGGTTGTTGGAGGGGGCTGTTAAACACTGACGAGACTGCATCAGTTTTCTGGTTTCATGGTAGGAGAAAGATAGTGATGTACTAGAAGGAGTCTAGCAAAGGACCTTTTTGACTAAGGGAGACTGTTTCAGGCCTGTTTTTCATGAAGTTTGTTGGTGACTGGAGCACTTGATTTAGAGAAAGAGACTGGGAGAGCTGAGTTTGTGCTGAGAAGGCTAAAGAAGGCTTTTGCTGCTGTCTTCAACTACGTAGTGGGCATAGATAAGACAGAGCCGAACTCTTTTGCAGAGTGTGCAACAGGATAAGAGGCAACACTTAAATTGTAACAAAATAAATTCTGGTTAGATACAAGAGAAAACTTCCACACAGGATGGTTAAACACTAGAACAGATTAACTGGAAACGTTGTGGAATCTCCATCCTGAGGTATATTTGGAACTTGACTTGACAAGGCCTTTAGCAACCTGGCTTTGGGGCAGCCCTGCTTTGAGCACCTGTGCTGGAGCATATGCCTTCCAGAGGTCTCTTCTAGCCTAAGTCATTTATTGACTCTGAGTTTGAGGTGCATTTAAGGTATTTATCTTGTTCCATCTCAACGTGTGCAGTGTTGAGAAAGCTTCATTAGACATACTATTTTATTGGCCATTTTTATTATCTTGCTTTTCATCTTCCATCCTTTTTTTATCATTTCTTGTCAGCCTTCCTTATAAATCAGTTTGCTAAAATACTGCATGTGGTGTTTTGGACATGTAAGCTACATGAATCTTCTCTTGATGAAGCATCTCAAGCTCTAGTTTTATGTTTTATAATTCAGTATCAGCTGTGCATTTGGTCTGCTTCTGTCCTAGTTTGTATTGTATTTTTGGTAGCCAGTAATCAGGACACTCCGAGATACATAGTTTAAGAAGGTTGATTCTTGCAAATTAAATCAAATATGAGGGCTGAACCATTTGGAATCATTACCTTAGTAGTACTATTTGGCTGTACTTGCATTTTGTATGTAAAATAGAAAAAGGACAGGTAACTACTCTTTTTGTGTACATATATGTAAGAGGTAAATGCACTGTGTGTCTGGTGTTACCTTTCAAATTGGGGCATAGTAAAAACATTTGTTGTCTCCTTCTGCTGCATTAAATCAGTTGAAGTATAAGCATGAGATGGTGTTTAGTAATTACCTGCCAGATTTCTTATACTCGCTGATTTTTTTAATTACAGCTGCTTCTCCAGTGCAGCCTCCTTTCTTTGAGTGTCCGATAGGATATTTCCCACCTCCAGTACCACCAATTTCCTTGCCACTGCCACCTCCAATTCCAGTAAGTAATCTTGAAAGGAGTGCATTTTTTAAAAAGTTGATAATTCTCATTTTGTATCTTATTTCTAATGCTAAAGTTAGGATTAAATTTAGATTCTGGTTTTGATACAATTCTTTGTGGTGATTCCCTTGAACTACCTGATAGACTTGTGGTTGCTTTCTTAAAACTCTTTATTTCAGCTATTTTTTTGCTGATCCAATTCCTGTTTAATTGAAGTTCTCTCTATTTTGTCTTCATTGTTAGAACTATGCTGTTCCCTAACAGAAAGCAAAAATTACCTGAAGCACATAAGGAAAAATAATGATTTGGAATTGTTAGTGCAAGGCAACTTTGCCTCTTATCTCTAGGCCATGTATGTAGATATGCTTATTCTCTGACTTACTACCTCGAGGGGTGTTCTGGTTTCAGCTGGGATAGACTTTCTAGTAGCTGGTACAGGATTCATGAAATAATTTAGATCTCAACCTCTGCTAAATAATTTAGGTCTCAACCTCTGTTAAATAATCATTAGTAGTGATTTTCACATTTCAAACCCTTGTTTTCCCTCAGCCTGTACCGTCTTTGAGCCAACTTTATGTAGAGGGTATTTCTTGTGTTTCGCTTGAGCCGCCTCCACCTCTTCCACCTCTTCCCCCTGAAGAGCCTGAACAGCCACCAAAACCTCCATTTGCCGATGAGGAAGAGGAAGAGGAGATGCTGTTAAGAGAAGAATTACTCAAATCTCTAGCCAACAAACGAGCTTTCAGATCTGAGGTATTCCATTGGTTTTTGAATGTAAACCTCTAGATGGCAATCTTGACCAAAACTTAAATGTGACCTGCTAAGTGAGGATTACAGGCTTTTTAATGCTGCCTTTCTGATGACTTTAAAAAAAAAATAAAAAAAAAATTCTCTGAATTTCCATCACCCACTGCCCCCCAAAAGAAAGCGAAACAAAAGCCAGTCTGGAACACCCTTTGAATTGTAAATTGCAGCTTTTCTTTTATTTCTGAAGGAATTACGAGACTTCAAGGTACTGAAAATTGAGTATATTCAGGTGAATGGGCATTTTATTTTCTGCAAAAAAATGTTTATTATTTATCAGCTGTCAGAAAACGAGACACTTAACTTTGTTTCAACCTTCCAGCAAAAAGAGTTAGGAGACATTAACTGTTTTGGTTTTTTGTTGTTTTGTTTTTTTGGAGTGAGAAGCAAAGTTTGTGGTTTTGAAAATTTGGATTGTTTTTGACCTCATTAAAAGGTTGCGAATCTTTTGCGATTGGCCTGTGAATGACTGGCATATTCTTGTGTGCCTTTTTGATATTATTGCAGAATTGTGAGATTTGTCTAATACATTTGGATAGTTTGCCTAAATCACAATTCCATGTTCCAAAACATGTATGGAACAATCTCATTTATGGTTATGTCTTTTAAAATAGCTGTGTGTAGTGTGTATTCTTATGACCGTATTTTTGTTTTATTTTGTTAGGAAACTTCAAGTAACAGTGGTCCACCTTCCCCTCCTGTTCCAGATAATTTGCACTCTGTGCCAAGAAGCAATCTGTCCGCTGTCAGTATTAATACTGTGTCTCAGCCACGGGTACAAAATACAAAGTTTGTCAGAGTACCAAGGCCTCCACGAGCAGTGATCACAGTAAGGAAATATTGGTGCTTTCTATTTATAAGACTATGAGTTGAAGTTGTCCTCAGTTCAAGTGAACAGCGGACTTAAGGTTTTTTAGTGATACAGCACAGAACGGTGGAGCTTCAATTAAACATTTGAATTACTAGTAACTTTGATAATCCAGATGCTTCTCTAGAAAGAATTTGACACTGAAGTAAGAATTTACATCTTAAGAGAGCACCAAAACATGCCAGCACTCATCTGAACTAAGAGACTGTAAATATAGTTCAATTAATTTCTTTGCTAGATTAGCACAGACTAAAGGGTGCTGTTCAGTGGTAGCTGAGCCAATCTGATTGCTGTTTGTTGTCAAAATAGAGGTGGTCTTGCTCTTTCTCCTGCTCCTGGCTGAATGGCATCTCGCTTCTTTTAAACTGGGGTCTGGAGCATCAGTCCTGTTGCTTAACTTATTTAACATGCTAAACTGGTTAGAAAACTAACATTGGGGGGAAAAAAGTACTTTTCCTTCTAGGGGGAGTTGAATTTTTTTCAGTGAACAGTGTGTGGGCATCAGAGCTAGCGCAAAAGTGGTGGCAGATGGCATGTCTGTGGGGTGGAAGACAGAGTAGAGAGTATTCTCTTTAGGCAGCAGACTTTGTTACGTTAGCTGAAGCCATATTCTGTAACTTGACCTTCATTTGAATGGTCACGGGAGGTATGTGAAGCCAGCATTTGATTTGTGATGTCTGCAGTCTCCTTGGATTGCTGGAAATGTGTTATAAAAACATATTTGCCTGTGTTATGCCAGACTGGAAGCCCATATAATCTACTGTTCTATTTATGGCAGTGAACCATACAAGGTGGATAGTTTGTGATTATTTTAACAACACATCTTCGAGAGCTTGGTTTGTTGTACCTCTTTCCCGTGCAGATTCTCTAATGAATAGTGTGATTGAGTCCATACCTTTGCCTTTCTGTCAGTGGAGGGTGTCTCTAATAAACTAATTTTTTTTCTTTACTAAATTTGGAAGAATATATAGTATCTTTGAGACTATTACATCAATATCAAATCTAGCTATAGCTGGCCAACAGCTTTCTTGCTTATAAATACAGGCTGTATGATCACTTGGTCACCATGGCCATAATGGGCGGGGGGGAAGCTTAAAATGGTAGAGACCCAAATATTCCTTTTTTGGTCATTTTAAGGCCTACTTCCCTTTCTGTAGCAAAATTGTGCTCATAAGCTTAAAGTGGATTTATTTTGTTCTTTCTGTACCCATATTCACAATCTACTTTAAATTCTAGATATAACCAGAGTAATTGTTCAATTTGGGCATACTTACCTCCTTTCTATAATAATTTCACATTTACTTAAATTTTTGAGTGTTCTTATGTTTAAATACTAGATGTCTTCTGAAAAAAACCCTTAAATTAACACATATTCTATTGTCCTGAGACTTCATTAACTGCTGTTCCATAAATGAGGGAGAACATGTTACTAGGGAGCTGTTTGTTTTTATAACATGATAAATGTCTCTTTATCAGCTGTGCTGTTGAAAGGCATTATGTAAATGTTAAAAAACCTGCAGCTGAAGTTCAGTGCCTGTTGCTAATGATGGTTAGCTTAGTTAAAGCTGACAGAATAATACCTTGTATTCAAATCAGCTAGCTTGGCTAATGTCTTTTTTACAAAAATGATTATAGAAACAAAGCATTTTGCATTTGTTAATAATCTTTTTAAATAGGTTGGGATGTAGAATATTTATATAAAATATAGCTGTGTGTTTTAAAGAACTTGCTGCCAAATAATGTTCACAGGAGACTAGTCACAAGGTATTTCTGTCCTCTGTGAAAACAAATCAATATGAAAACAATATCAATTACTCCTGTTAGTTTAAGCTTTTGAAAACAATTTGTATCGAATGCTTATGATTTGTTTAAACTTTTTAGTATTTGGTATTTCTCAGTAGAGCCTAAAAAAATAATTAACTCATGAGAGTTTAATTTTGACCTTAAAAACTGATAGTTTTTCTGTGAGCATTGCTGTATATATCCAGAAATTAAGAAAGGTATAGAAAATACAAATTCTTCAGGCTTTTGAAATCTAATTTCATAGCTTTGGGGGCTTGGTAGCTTTTGAATGTTCTGAGTATGCTGTACCATATTTCAGAAGAGGTTTTAAATTTACAGACCTTGGGATTTCTTCTGTTGGGTTGAGGACCTCTGCATAGTGAAATAGCCTACAGATATTGGTTTGCTTTTTCAATGACATCTTGTAATCCTTTTTCAAAGTAGTCATGGACACTCAGGGATCTGTTCACCACAGACTGAAAATATGTCTTAGAATGTTATGGAGAGATCCTGCATTACAGCTGCAGTTGAAGCTAATTTACTGAAGGCAGTGTGATGGTAGTTGCCTGGTGTTACTTTACTGATTGTTAAATGTTTTGCTGAACCACAACTGAAAATAACACTTGGGAAAAAACACCTGGAGAAAAGCTGACTTTGACCCTCCCCACTATCAGCTTTTCCCCTAGAAGAAAAATGGGAAGGCAGTTAGAGAAAGTTTACTCTGCACAACTGTGCCAAAAGCAGCTTGGCACCAAGAGCCAGTGACAGGTAAGGGGTGTATTGGGCATCTGAAGGTGAGGAGATGGGTGGGGTGTTGCCTGACTAATTCAGGTTTCCATAGAGCTACAGCCAGAGAATATTTGTGAGGAGAGGACCAATGCCTTGTTCCATTTTCTTGCACCAATATAAATGGGATTTTCACCTACCTGTGCTATGGCAGTGTAAAAATGATGCAGCTGCAGTACATACAGAAGTAGTAGATATGATCTTTATTTTAAGAACTGTCCAGAAAGAGAATATAAAAAAGAAATGATTGTAGAAATTGGGTATTTTTCATTTTAAAAAGTGGGTTTTTTGTGGGGTGTGTGCTTTAAAAGGCACTTAGAGCTTTGAAGAGGTCCTGTCCTGAGGTAAAGGTTAAATGTATAACTGTAGTTGTTGAGACTTGGAAAGAGGGGAAGAGCAGTCCTGGAAATGTGAACCGAGTTGCTTCTTTTCAAGCTGTAACTCCAGAGCATTTGAGGTTAATCTAAATTGTCTGCTTGTTTCTGCATCTTTCTTTGTGCTGGAATTGGCAGTCATCTGATCTTCAGTGAGCTGTTTCAGTTAGTGATGGTGGCAAAAAGTGATTAATTTTGTTCCGTTTGTTCTTTATTTGCTGTTGGTGTTCTGCCAATTTAACTGCCTGAGCAGCTCACTGTAAAGTCAGCTAAGTGTAACTGTGGGACAAGAGGCATCACAACTGTGTGGCAGAAAGATGAGGGAGTTCTGGTATGTCTGGCACAGCATTTCTAATGCAGGCTTGATTGATTGTTACCTCTCAGTTACTTAAAATTGCTTGCAAATGGAGGAAGATAATTTTCATTACAATTCAAATAATTTATGAAGGGGAGGAGTCAAAGGTTTGAGATCTGTGTGCTATGAGCATGGAAATGTAAATGTGCTGCAGATGCTTGGGAATAGGTTGAAAAAGTTGGAGTACCTTTCATGTTACAGTATCAAGAATGGGTACAGTGTCTTGTAGTGGAGATGCACGAATGCTTAGGGTTTTTTTCTTACAATGTGGAATTCATGTGCCATGATAAGAAAAGAAGTTAACCTCCCTCTTCTTTTCTAGTAAATATCTACTCAGCTGTATCTGTCTCTAACTTTTTATTCTTGTATAAAACTTCTTTCATTCTCCAACAGCTTCCAAAACACAAGTCTGTTGTGGTTACGTTAAATGACTCGGATGATAGTGAGTCTGATGGAGAGCCATCTAACTCAACTAGCAGTGTATTTGGAGGACTAGAATCTATGATAAAAGAAGCAAGGAGAAATGTTGAGGTAAACGCTATCAGCATGTAATAGGTTTATTTTGTAATGATTTTGCTTTGTATATGGAATTTAAACTTTAGAATTTGGTCAAGAAATATTGGATTACATCAGAAATGGGCGAGAGTGGGTACATTACTCCTGTCTGGACCATTACATTGTAATTTGAATTGGACAAGCTAATTAAAATGATTTTTTTGGTTAAGGTGGCATCCTGAAGATAGAATTTGTAATGTGTTTTGGTTTCATTTTTTCAAATAAAATTCAATACATCTTTAATTACTAGCAAAAATAACATTGGCTTAAAAGATCTTATTAGCCTTGAACAGCTTTAAGTTTGTGCTGAAATGCCTCTTAAAAATAGTAGTCAATAGCTGTATTTAGTTAAATGCTGTATTTTAAACTAGTGTGACTAGTATTGACTTGAACCTCATTGTAACAGGCCTCAAAAATCAAAGCCCCTCCAAAATCAGAAAAAGAAAATGATCCAATGAGAACTCCAGAGGCTCTACCAGAAGATAAGAAGATAGAATACAGGCTCTTAAAAGAAGAGATTGCCAGGTACAACTGAGCTTAATTGTTAATGTAAAATGTATATTCTTTGTAGTCCTTTACTAGTCTATTTTTGTAACTGGAAGGAAAAATATGAGTTTGAAAACCTTGCCATTAACTTCAGGTTTCCCCCCCACTCAATTTTTAGTAAGGCAACATAGGAGTCTAAAAGTCCTTGGATTTGAGCTGGCTTGCAGTAGTTGATTGCAGTTGTGGAAAGTTCTTTTTCTTTTAACTTAAAATCTTGTCCTGCTACTCTTTTGAAGATTTTAAAACTATTGGGAGTACCCATTGAAATGAATGTTGAAGCTACTGAACATCTTTGCTTTTAACATCTCTGTTTTAGTCGTGAGAAGCAACGCTTAATTAGGTCTGATCCACTGAGGAACAATTCATCGCCTGCAAATTCTGATGGTGAAGTTGATGGAATTGGTAGAATAGCAGTAGTGACAAAACAAGTCACAGAAGCAGAAGCAAAGCTTAAGAAAAACAGGTACATATTTTGCTGCTGTAAGTCCTACCTTGTTTACTTGGCAGGATGAAACTAGTAAATAATCTTTTTGAATGTGTAGCATTTAAAGTACAGCAAATTATTGGTTTTCTGTTGTCTTGAACTATTCAATCTTGAATTCTATTGCTGTATAAAAGGAATTGTGTTGTAGTGCCAGTGTGGTGTTTTGTAACTTTGAAGTATGATTGTCATGCTAGCTGTTCTCAGCTGTGTTTATGTTGAGTGACTAGAATATCAGCTGTGCCACCTAATAGCTCTGAAATACAAAAAAATGAGTGTGCTTTTCACTACTTAGTACACTCTGAGGGTAGCATGTTGCAATGGGACATGCCTGATACATGTAAATGAATGAGTGCTTCTGCAAAATAAGTATGCTGTTTGAAGCTCTTCCTGTATGCCTTTTCTCTCTTAGCGTGCCTCTTCCACGTTTCTTGCCCTTCTTCCGTGTTATTGTGGAAAATTTAAGTGCTTTGCATCCTTCTTTTCTGCTTCCGTTGCCACTTGATTATTTCTTTGTGGTCTTGTGAACAAACTGGTTTGTGGCCGGACATTAACTGAAGCACGTTCTTCCCTCCTCCCTTTATTCATACCTGTCTATCTAAGTCTTCACCTTGCTTCCTTTAATGCATAGCTTTTTATATTTAATTGCTCTGCTGTTGTGCCCTAATACTATGGCTTGTAGCCTGCTAATGGGCTTATGCACCCTAAGGAAGAATTGGGTTATTAAGCAAGAACATGTGTGTTTTGAATGTCTTAATGTTAAAAACAGTATTAAAGATATGCCACTTGCTTACTTTCCCCATCCTCATAACTAGAGTGTTTTCATCTGGTTTATACTGACATGCTGAACTGTGGTTACTGAAATTTGCTGTATGTACTACCAGTATTTATTGTCTCATGGATGTTAAGGCTATCTGGAGAACCTTAGAATGTTGTTTGTTGATAAGTGAAAAGGAGCTGGGTTCTTAAATAACTAGGGTTTCAGAGGAGCAGCAATAGCTCTGAGAAATGTTTGGAAAAAATTGTGTTACATGGCTTTTCTACTTTTAGACTTCTATTGATGAAGGATGAATCTGTCTTGAAACATTTGTTGCAACAAGAGGCCAAGAAGAGAGAGAATGTTCGAATTGCTGAAAATAAAATTAACAAACTGGCTGAACAGCTACAAGCAACAGAGAAGATCTTGAATGCTAATAAGATGTTTCTCAAGAAGCTTCAGGAACAAGTAACTTTAATTTTGAAATCTTTCTGTTTCCTAGAGCTGGAAGTCTTGAAATGGGTAGCCTGATATTTGGAGGCAGTAGGCTTTCTTTGAATTAATTATTAATTCCCATGTCTTTTCTGATTATATTTTATTATGTGGTCATATCTGAAAATTTGCCTCTTACTGTAGTATTTTTTCTTTTTTTTCAGATTCATAAAGTTCAACAACGAGTTACAGTAAAAAAAGCTCTGGCATTAAAATATGGGGAAGAACTTGCTCGAGCAAAAGCAGTAGCAAGTAAGGAAATTGGGAAACGAAAACTGGAGCAAGATCATCTTGTAAGTCTGTTGCATGCTTTTAAACCATGCTGTACTTGAAAAGCAGCAGCAGTTTTGATTAGGAAACTTTAGTTCAAATGGGATTTCAGGAAAATAGGAAACCATTTCAAAAGCACTGTAGGAATCTTCCTATTGGTTTCCAGTATTTTAGAGAATTCAACAGAAAAAGCATTAAGCATTTAAAAAAGAAAACTGTTCAAAGCCTACATTTCTGTGCCAGGGAAATGTCACTAATAGATAAATAATAAGAGGAGCTATATGGCTGTGAAGGAAGGAAATACTTTACTGTCTGTAGACGTCACTGATCTTCTTAAAACTATCCAGCGAAGACACTGAAAAAGGGATCTGATCTTGTTTTGAAAAACAAAATATAGAAAAACAAGGCTAAAATATTTTTGTAAATTCTTCTTTTTCTGCACCCCCCACCCGACCCCCGTATACTTGTTTTATAGCTCACCTTTTAAATGTGGCCAGAACTTCTGTTGAAGCCCCGTACATGATGTAGGATAATTTTTATCAAAAAAACCTGCAAACCTGCCAGTTGAATTGTGGCAAACTTTTTTTGTGGTTTTTCTGCTGTTTGTTGAAAATTTTCTGGCAAGAGTTTAAAATGTTTTCATAAACTCTGAATTAAATATCTTGCCTGTGTTTCATTTTACCTCCTGTCAATAGATCAGTAAATGTGAAAATGAAATAAAGGGAGTTTTTTTTTCTTTTCAGCCAAGCAAAATGTTGAAATTGGAGAACTCCCCTGCATCAAGTCCAAAAAAGCATTCAGCAGAATTGATTGCACTAGAGAAAAAACGACTACAGCAACTAGAATATGAATATGCTCTAAAGATTCAGAAATTGAAAGAGGCCCGCGCGCTTCAAACCAAGGAACAATCAAATATTGCACCTCATGCAGAAGAGGAATCTGAATTTGCATTACCCCAGCCATCACTTCATGATCTTACACAGGATAAATTGTCTTTGGACAGTGAAGAAAACTACTTCGATGATGAAGTTCTGTCTAATTCAAACCGAGAACGAAGGAGATCTTTCAGAGAATCTAATTCTTTCACTAAACCAAATCTTAAGCACATGGACACTCCAAAACAAGAAACTGTAAACAAACTTTCTAAAAAGGCATCAGAGGAGCCTGAGCTGTTCCTTGGGTTGAATATTGATGAACTGAAAAAACTTTATGCTAAAGCTGACAGCTTGAAAGAGCTGCTAGTGAAAAGTACTGCCTTTATAGTACCGAAGGAAGATCTGTTGTGTGGTCAGGTAAATGCTTTAAAACTAAGTATGATTGTCTTTACTAGGTGGTATTGCAATTGCTGTATATCTGTTTATCTGTTTCCTAGGAAATTTCAGTTGATGTGGATTTTGTTACATCGCAAAATAAACAAACTGACGTGAAACCGTTTCCATTTGGACCGTATCATAGTCCTCTTCTAGTATTTAAATCCTACAGGTATGAAGACTCTAGTAGCTCTCTGACTTCTGTGTATGTGTGTTTTTATTCAGGTATTCTTCACTGCTCTTCCTTGATACCTATGCGTGCACAGAAAGACAAGTTGCAGTGAGAAACTTGACTATCGTGAAATACTTTTGTCTAGTTTAGGGAACTTAAGGATTTTAGTTACTTCTTCTGGTACGCAGGAGTCCCTTGCTTTTGTGCAGTACCCTGCTTTTGCATTGTATTGCATACTATTCCCTGCAACTGGGTGGTTGTTCAGTATAACTGGATTAAAAAATAATAGTTAAACATTTGAAAACAGGATTTTTATATCCAATATGAAGTGATCTAAAATCCAGGAAAAAGATAACAAGTGTATTTCAATTATGCAGTTTTTAAACTTGGCTAGGTTTTACATTGTTTGAGTCGGGATTGAACCAATCACCTATTTTTTGCATTCCTGCTCAGTGGAAGGAGGCATGACCACAGCGATTGATTCATCTTGACTTAAAGTAGACACCTGCAAGTGAAATCAATCTGACACATCTGTCTTTTGACTAAAGAGAGCTTTGTTCCTACATATTAAATTTTAGAAAATGAAAGTCTGGAATTTAAACTGGAACAGTTGAATCCTACCATGTGCTTCAGGTTTTTTATTTCTGTACTCTTAAGTAGCAAAAGGTGGAGGATGCTATCTTTACAGGAGTATTCATTTTAACTTATAGGTTATGGCTTCAGTTCCTTAAGGAGCTAGAAATCCCAAAATTGGCATAGTCAAATGTTAGCTAAAGACTTAAAACAAGCATTAGTGTGTTCAGCTCAGACTTGGTTTTTGTTTGTTTACACTTTATAAAATCTGATGTGGATTTTTTCACTGTTTTTTCAGGTTAATCTTTTATGGTTCTCTTTACACTTCTATTTGACACTGATCTTATGCTGACTACAGCATGAGTGCATTTTTTCTAGAACTAAACTGAAATTCAGTTTCAGTAGTTTGCTTTCCCTACTGGGTCATTACTATGCTTCCTGTTTTTATATGAACTAAGTTCTGCACCTAAGGGAGAAGAGAATTCTGGAACAGAATCAGTTTAGATTGAGAAGTACTGTTTTGTTCCCTCCCTCTCACTGTTTTCACCTTCCTCTTAACTCATGTGTTAGCGATGCTTCTGGTTAGTAGCAGGGTTTTGGAAATAATGAGATTTAATACAGAAAAAGTGATTATTTTTTAAAATGTTTTGTTTAGTAAAACTGATGTCTTACCTTGTACACTTTGTCACAATAATTCACTGTTTCATTTTAGGTTCAGTCCGTATTTTCGAACCAAGGAAAAACTGTACCTCAGTTCAGTAACATATAGCAATATGATTGAGCCAAAACAGTGTTTTTGCCGTTTTGATTTAACAGGCACATGCAATGATGATGACTGTCAGTGGTGAGTTCTTTTTAATTTTGTTTATTTGAACTGAACTTCTCTTCTAGATGTCTGACTCAAAGACCAAAATAGGCATGTTTTTCATTTCTTTAAAAGGTCTGGATTTATGATCCTATGCGCAAGTTCTAGATAAGAAAGTTTTTTTTAATACCCTATTGCAGATACTTGGTTGGCAGGAAAAAAAACCTTTCGTCTAAGCCATGAAGAAAGGAGGTTCTTTAGATGTAAATTTAGAAAAGCAGTATGGACTGTTAGAGAATATTTCACCTTTTGGTTGCCTTGTAATTCAGATGGGACTCCTCTTGCTTTATAGCTTCAGCGTAACTTCAGACCACCATGGAACCTCAGGTAGTGGTTGATACTGTTAAGCACACTAGAGTTATATTGTGCTGCTAACCAAAATAAAGCATGCACCAAATACTATGTGATTATGTAAAAAAAAACCCTATTGAAGTAGTGGAATTCCAATTTTCTGGGAAAATACTGGCTATGTTTTTTTCTTTGAAGCCTGGTGTTATATTAAAAATAGTTTGTTAAACAAGTTGCGCAGTAGATTTTTAAAAGTTCGTACAAGAGCAAATGGATATGAATTGGTCAGGAATAAACTCAATTTGGAAACTTCTAACTACTGGAAAAATACAATAGGAGTGGACTTCAGCTCTCTTTTTTTGCCCTTTTTGGTGGCAGATAGCTTTTTGGATCAGCTTTTAGCTGTTACTGTCAAACCATAGTTTGAATCTTTTAAACACAAAGTGATACCTAATTCTTAAAAAATTCTTCAAACCTTGTTTGAACTGGAAAGTTCTAAATACTGTGGTTTTGTGTTAGTGCAAAGCAAGTAAGTAGAGGTTTATTTTAAAGAGTAAGGCTATAGTGAAGTAATGAAGACTAGGATTAAGTTACTGATGCAGGTTTAAGTTTAGAGAAGACCCAGACATATTTAACAGAAATTTCAAAGTAGGCTGCAGTGTTTTCTGTGGGTATGATTTTCTTTATGCCTCACCCTCCTGTCTAAAACCAACTTTCTAGTTATAAGGCTTATTAAATTCTTGCTGTGATAAATATATTAATTGCTTATTTGTTTGTTTTAGGCAGCACATGAAGGATTGCACTCTTAGCCGTAAGCAGCTGTTTCAGGATATTCTGTCTTACAATTTAGAACTGATTGGCTGTTCAGAAAAAAGCACTGATGAGGAAATCAGCACTGCCACAGGTTCTTAAGAGTCTTTTGCTCACTTTTCTATACAAAGATTCATTTCTGAAGGGAGTGGCTTTTGTTAAAAGCTCTGGGTGCGAGGACTTTGATGTAAAACAATATATAAGATACAGCTATATGAAAAGATAGGTTTCTGCAGTTGTTCAGTTCAGTCCTTTGTAGTGGGTAGTTACCTTGGTGTCTTTACAGAAAGAAAAAAATCATTGATCTGTGGGACATTTCACTTGGAAAAATAAAGTATCACTGGGATTCAGGGAATCGGGGAGCAATGGGCATGGAATCTTTCCCTCTCCCCTTCCTCACTTCTTTTTGTAACTGCTGGACTGGTCTGTTTCAGTAGAGCTGGAATTTTATAACAACGCTGTTGCCATATAGGCAAGTTGCTGAACAGAACTTTTTCAGTTTTTAATTTCTTTGGTTTAGTATGTTAAGTTACCATACCTCTTGAAGCAGTCATATTTCATGAATTCAGCATAGGTTGTGCTAAATTGCTGTTAAGGTACGTATCCATTTTCATTTATGTGTTTACTTAAGATACAAATATTCTTGTTTCAGAAAAATATGTTGAAAAGCTTTTTGGTATAAACAGAGACCGTATGTCAGTGGATCAGATGGCTGTTCTTCTGGCCAGCAATGTCAATGAGAGTAAAAGTCACAGTAAGTAACTTGGTAGATTAAATACAATATAAACTTTTAAAAATTTATATATAAAATTATAAGTACCTTGATGATTTTGTAGAAGAATAATTTTTTTGTTGTTGCTTAGTTTATCTCAGCGTTATAAATTCTGCTTGTGGTAAAATAAAGGCAGCAGAGTTTGTTTTAAGGCAATAATATAATAGTTTTGGAGTCCAATTTGGAAAAGTAACTTACGCACTTGAGCACAACAGATTTTAAAGAAGTAGTGTTGAAACTTATACACTTGTGTTGCACTCACAGAACGTTGCTATCTAAAATCTTTATTAGCAAAGATGTTTTAAGCTTGAATACAGAAAAGTAAAAGAATTTCTACTACTTTGCTTGTTTACAGCACCTCCATTTACAACATGGAAAGATAAAAGGAAATGGAGACCAAAGTACTGGAGGAAACCTCTGTTAGATAGTAGCAGCAGTGAAGAGGAACAGTTTGTTGGACCTATTAAATATGGTAATCTGGATGTGTGGCATCCATTGAAAAAGAGTACTGGGGGAAAATACCTGCCAACCTCTTCCCAACACCTAATTTTTGAAGTGGTTCTTAAGAAAACCAGTGCTTTTAATAGCTCTTGACTTCGTATTTCCTGCATGCAAACTTTATTTTGCATAAATTTCTGGGTAAAGTTTGAACTGAATTTGTTGTATTTAAGGGAAAAAAAAAAAAAGTATAATGTGTGACTGGAAGTTAAGGTAGAATTTCTACTTACCTGTTCTTAAAAAGAATATAAGGAACTATTTCCCTAGAATGTTTCCGCTTTGCCCATAGACCATTAGGATTTTTTTAATTTTTATTTTTCCCTCCCAGAACTGTAAGTAGTAAAACTTACAGTTTTACTTAAACTTGTACAGAGATAGTACTTGGTGTTGAGGTCAAGAGTTAAAAAAAGCTGCTGTTAAACAGCATTTGAGACTTGGAAGCTTGCTAGAGCATCAGTACCCTGACAGTGTTTCACATGTGACTCATTCAAGTGGGAGCTTTAGGATTTGGTAGCAAATCCTGTAAAAAGGATTTTTAGAGACTCAGAATTGAGATAATTTTTTTTGTCAGATGTGTCTGTTTCCTAATGCTGCCTAATGAACTGCCTTAATTGGTGTCTGTTGATCAAAGCAGCCTTTTACTACTATTTATTTCTTGCCTTTGCTTTTGAAATATAACCAGTTTTCTACAGACTACACAGTTCTAAGTTTTAGGGGATATTGAAATAACTGTGTTTTGCTCTGGTCAATGGCTACACTTGAAATATATAAATGCCACCCCTTGTATGATTTCTAATTTTACAGGTCACTTCTGTTTTGAAAAGAAACATTTTTTTAACTTTTTTTTAATTTGCAGCCCATCCCACAGAACATAAAAAAAGAGTTCCAGCTCTTGATGCTGTGGTGACTCCAGATGATGTCCGGTATTTTACAAGTGAGACTGATGACATTTCCAACTTGGAGGCAAGTGTCCAAGAAAACCCCTGTGATGTACAGCTTTGGATTAAACTTGCATACAAATACTTGAATCAAAATGAAGGGTAAGTCTGATAGGTTTTAGACTTCATTTTGTGCTTTACCCATGCTGCTATGATCAAGTTTCCTTTCTGACGTTAAAGAACTTTCTTCAACAATGCCACAAATAATTTGTTACTTAAAAGCAGGTTAAAAAATAGATTAGGTTTCCTACTGTATGCACTATAGTATGTGAGTAATAAATTACACTGACGGTTTATCTTTAGGTAGGTTCTGATTCAGAACGGAAGTTGGTGGAAAGTAGTGTGGGAGAAATAATTGTTTGTGTTTGAAAAGTGCACAGCCTAATGTATTTCCAAGATTACAGTGGAATGTACTTCCAGTGATAAAGCAGCGGACCAATAAACTCCAATCAGTTTCTCCTTTACAGAGTGAATGATTGTAATACTGTTTGAAATTACTTTTATCAGAAAGAATTTCTTATGAGAACAGTTCTGCTATATGGTTTTATCCCTGTAGAAGCGGTCTGGTTAACACTGACTTTCTCATTTTGTAATTTTTTAACTTTTGGATTTCTAAGTTTCTCTAGTTTCTATTCTTTTAAATTATTCTGCAGCATACCATGTTCTTACTGGCAATCAGATAATTTCAGTAGGAATTCTGTCATGATGGTTTCATTCTAGAGATTGACTTCAATTTCAGTAGTGAGGTACTGGCTTAAGCAGCTGCAGCAGGGAGGAAAGGGAATGGGGAGGAGCAGCTCTGTCTTAAAAGTCTTGTGTAAACTGTGGGTAATGGAAAATGTAGCAAAAGATCAGTTTAGCTGTATCGATAGCTGCCTGAACACTAGAAGGGATAGAACCGGGAAGGCCAGTACTCAAAGAAAACACTACCAGCAAGTGGCAGGGTGAGAAGAGCACACTTTCTAAATATAAGTGTGCCTGGAAAAAGACCAAGAAAAAAAGGGAGAAAACCTAATGGAAGACGATGCATCCTTTTCTTAAAACAGCCACCTCCCCCCATTCCCCCCATGGTTTCCTCAGAGTAGTGAGGCGGGTGGGAGACGAGTGGTTTAGTAGGTGGCAGTGGTGACAGAAGGGGTTGGGAAGGCTTCGGACTTATCCATGGTTAACTGTGTTAGTTTTGTTTTGGGACATGTGTTTTTCCTCTCATAAATGTCTATGTAAAGTAACTTCTAAAGATGTTTTCAGAATAAATGCAACCTCAGAAGCTTTCTGTGGTTTTATGGAAGTTTGTTTATGAATTAAAGCTCAGCTCTGTGGTTTGCAATATAGTCAGTTATTTGAGCTACTCTTTTATCACTTTGCTGGTATCATCTCATGATAGTCGTCTCAAAAAGTAAAATCTCCTTTTTTTTTTTCAATGGTTTAGAGGCAGAGAAAACCCCCATGATATGCATAGTAACCTGAAATAAAGGCTTGTATTTGACTGTAGAAAGTAAACTAAATATGTAAAAAAATATTCTTACTTCACTAAGCTTTTGAAATTTCTGCTTAAGTTTTTAAGTCTCTGTGATGTTAATGCCTTTATATGATTGCAGCTTGAGACTTCTGCTTACAGATGAATCTTACCCATTTTCCATTAAATTGGACTCTTACTTGAATTGGCACTCTTTTCCTAGGAAACTTCTTTTTCCATGCACTGTGATAATTGCACCTAATAATAACAACCTTTGAAGGATGAAAACTTAATGAAACTTTGAAATTTTCATAGTAAAGGACAGCACATGTTAAAAAAACGGCTGACTGTGTGTCACTTCTAATTATAAGCATCCATTTTCATATTTGATATTGAGTCATAATACTAACACAGTTGATGTGGGTGCTTTTTTTAATTTATACAGCTCATCATCTGAGTGTTTAGATTCTACTTTAAATGTTTTGGCTCGAGCTCTTGAGAACAACAAAGAAAATCCTGAAATTTGGTGTCATTACCTCAGACTCTTCTCAAAAAGAGGAACCAAGGAGGAGATACAGGAAATGTGTGAAACGGCAGTGGAATATGCTCCCTCTTATCAAATCTGGTGGACAGTAAGTAAAAAAAAAAAAAAGCTTTATGTGAAATGTTCATGTAAGTGTGCATTTTCTACTGTAGAAAACCAGTACATATGACAGGGAAAGTGTGAAACGAACAATACTACAGCTTTTTGAAAACTCAAAAGTCGCTCAGAAAATGAAGCGATTCGAAGTTCTGTTTGAAAGATATTTGTAGAAATCATCACTTGTCCTCAGGTAATAAAAGTTATTTAAAATCAAGGTGTTACACTTGTTATTTTTTGTTACTTAAGCTTAAAAAATTTAACTTTGACTATTTGATCTTTAATACTTAAACAGTATTTTCTGAGTTTTAATGTGAAAATATGGTTTGAGGGAGGGAAATATGGTTCATGGTAAAAGACATTATCTGAAGTTTGTGCTTCATGTGATTTTAAACTTTAACCTAGAAGCTTCACTATTACTATTATTATTGTTAATTATTATTAATTATTTCTCTCTAGTTTCTGAATTTGGAGAATTCCTTTGATGGAAAAGACTATGTTTGTGGGAGGATGCTACAGTTCCTAATGGAAGTGACAGGGGGAGAAGAAAATCCAAATCTCTTGTCCTTTCAGCTGCTGGAGACTCTCCTGTATAGGGTTCAATTAAACCTGTTTACAGGAAGACATCAGAATGCTCTTGTTCTGCTGCAGGTAACTTCCAGGTTACGACCCCAGGAATTGTCTTCGTACCTTCATCTTTCTAATGCCTGTGACTCTCAGAGTGCCAACTTTTGAAGAACTGTTCCTTCCTTTATTTGCCGAAGGAATTCTCCTAGAGACATTTGTTTTGAGATACGATGCCGTTGTAAAATTTGGGTATACCTTTGGGGTTTTTGTTACCTATTTTGCTTTGCTTGTGTAGCTAATAACCTAGACTACTATGTCTCAAAATAATTCCTAGGCAATTACTTTACTACTTGATTTCTTGTAAGCCATAGAACGCTTTTTCTGCAGTGAAGGGCCTGTGAGTAATGTATTGCCTCAGGTACTGAAATGTTTATTGCTGCAGAAATTATCAAACTAGTAGTTCTTGGGAAAGAACATAGCATGATGTTACCTGACAGCACTGCCCTGCTCCAAACTTTGGAGACTTGTTAAATCAGACTTCATTAGTCCCATGAACTCCAAAGTCATAGAGTTATCTCAGGCTTTTATTGTGACTGCAGAAAGAATTTAGGTCACTGTAACTGTTCTGTAGACAACAGAAATGGTGGATGAAGGCGAGAAATCGTCCTGCTGGAGGTGGGAGCTGCTTGTAGTTTTCCGTTGCAAGTTTTTTCATTCCTACCAGCAGATGGCACCTCTTGCTTGCTACACCATAAAACATGGCTCAGCTCCGTGGTTTAAGGTTGTAATGCCTTTTTTTTTTTTGTAGCTCCAGTTTAAACAGAAAAGTGTAATGCTGTGTTGACTTCCTCCAAAAGCTATTCTAAACACAGCAGTACTGATAAATGTAACTCTGAATGTTTGACTGAATGAACAAAGAACAGAGGGAGAAAAAACTGTGTCAAACTGAGATAGAAGTCCAGTGTGTATGGGAGAACAACATGGGTTGGTTTCCCTTGCCTTTCCTCAAAGCATCACAAAACCAAACGTTTTTTGGTTTTTATATTCATCTGAAGTGTGTAGTTGAACAGAATGTTTTGGGGAGAGATTATTTAACCATAATTAAGAGAAGATAATTTCTAAGTAAATGCTACTTCAGAGTAAGTAGCAATGTGTCCTTTGAAACTTGAAAACAAATTTTCTGAAGTAAATATTTTGAAGGGTGAATAAGTGAAATGTTTTTGAAACCTCAGTTTTCACCTATTACAGGAGAAGTGTCTGCTGAATTTTGCCTAAATTTGCAAGTACTTTCATTCCCTTGAAAGTGCCTTCTATTGTCCTGCATTTATCCCGAAAAATGTTGGCGCATCACTAGCCACGAGATTCTGTTCTGTTTTAGGAGCAATTGTGTTTAGACTTTGTCTAATTGCATGCTCTAATGATTTTATTTGGGATCTGCCAATTTAACTGGACTATTCTAGTTTTGCATATGACTGGTAGGGAAATTTGAAGCAGTATCCTTGTTCTCAGTAACGTTTCCAACACATTTTTTTAAACAATGTCTAGAGATGGTGGTGCTTTCAGTAGACTTGGATAGCTGTAACTTAGTAGCTATAGAACTACACTTAATAAAAAAAAAAAAACCAAACCAACGAACAAACAGAAGAACCCCATAAACCACAAAACCCGGTAGAATATAAGAAGCTGAATTCAACTCCTAGATGAGTTGTCTCTAGAGCTAATGTATTCTTTCTATGGAACTGGAAGTAATTGTCCAAGAATTAAGCAGAAAAATGGAACACATGTTGGGAGATGCATGTTTTCACAGTTTATCTCTGTTCACTCTTCAAAATAATGATCTTCTTCAGTTTTTCTAAACCTGTTACTAGAAATTATGCATGTGATTTGAATACAGTCACACATTCACATAAGCCAAATATAATCATGGCTGACATAAAGAATTAGTTTCTGTCGCTTCTATGGAAAAGATTTGAGAATATTAAAACTTGTTCTTCCTATTTCCTTTTCTCATTCTTAGATCTTAAAGATTTTATGGTTGAAATATAATGTATTTCTTTTAACCTTTACAGAATGCTTTAAAATCAGCAAATGAAAAGATAATATCAGAACGCCTTACTGTAAGTGACCGTTGCTTGGCTTGGCTGGCTTACATACATCTAACTGAATTTGGCATTCTCCCAGTCAAGTTCTATGATCCAGCTAATGTCAGTCCTTCAAGGGTTGTGAACAAAGAGCCATTTTTAATACCATGGCAAACAGTTCAAGATGTGAAGACTGATCCTGATACGCTGTTAGCTATGTTTGAAGGTAAGATTAAGGAGGTAAACTACTTAATACATTACTCGCTGCTTATAAATCAAGACGTATTCTCCAGCTTTTAGAATTTCAAGGCAGTGCAATATTGCTGATGACTGTTAAGCCATTGGGATTAATCCAGTGAATATTTCATCTTGATTTGAACAGAGCAGTGAGGAGAGTCAGTGTTCTTGGGTACTTAGCACACACTGAGTGTTTTATCTGTGGTTCAAAGCTATAGCTTTTTCTCTGAACTATGATATTCTATCAAGATAAAGACCAGTGGCTTGTGACAGTATGACATTGCTAGTTTTCTTGGGCTTCTGTTGTCATTCTCTCTCTTACCCTCCCTCCACTCTAATGGGATTTGTCTATTGCAAAGTTACTTTCCTGGAAGATTAGTGTGTTTCCTTAGAAGAGGCAGAGCAATGCATGTGTTTGTCTTCATTAAAAATTTAAGTAAATGGAATAATTTTTTTTAAAGATGTAAAATGAAGATACTAGAAGAAATTGAATTCTTGACTTGTGGTGCTGCCAGAAGTAGACTTTATAATAGCATTGTATAAATGTCAGTACTTGGCATGTTAGCCAGCAGTGATATTGAATTGCCACTGAGAATATATCTATGCTGCAGCTGGTAATGCAGTGTGGAAATACTCAAGGACAGATTGAGTAGCCCAGCTGTGGGAATGAAGGCAGTCTAGCCATGATAATGGGGTGTTCATTATGGGGTGTTCATTGTTGGGTAACTTTTTATTATGCTGAGAGGAAAAATAATATCCTGCATTAGCTTTTGTCTCAATAGCTTTCAGCAGCTATGCTGGAAATCCTGGAATGTAGTTTTAAGTATAGTGATAGACTGCTATCTGTAATGTGGCTTTAACATTTCATTGGTAGGATGTTTCCTGTTTTTAAATGAAAGAAGGATGAAACTTCTGAAAGACTTGTTTTTACACTGCGGTTGTAAGTGTTAAGAAAGCTTTTCCAAAGATGGTCATCTTCCTTTTTTTAAGAACTTGCAAAAGCAGCATGCTCAGAAATACCTTTCCACACTTACATATTTTCATTATGTTAAATGAGGCTTTTTATTATGTTAAGGCTTCAAATAACTTTGACATTGCTTGAGGTCTAAAGGCTTGATTTTATACTTTTTGTTTTGAAGATGCGGTCAAAACATGTACTGATGAAAGCCTTGAGGCTGACAAAAGAATAGCTATCTGCTTTCCTCTCTACAGAAACATGATAGCTTTGCTGAAACTTCTTGAAAGGTAAGTTAATTCAAGACATTTTTAATTGGAGTACTCCTCTGCTTTTTTGAAAGCTTACCTTTATTTCTCTTTAAGGTGGGAGTCTGCTGCAGAACTTTGTAGATCTTTATTGGAGCTCTGCCCTAACAACTGTCAGCTCTTGGAGAGTTTGGCCACCTTGTATTTGCAGATGGAGCAGAGTGACAACGCCTACAAAGTGTGGACTGGAGCTTTTGAGAAGTATCCTCAGAATGCAGAAATTTTTTATCAGTTGTGTAAATTCCTTGTTTCACAGGTAATACTCCACTCCAAAACTCATTTTGTTGGTCTGCTGGCTTTCCAAAGTTTGAGTTTTGTGTGTTGTTTCAAACACTTACTAAATTGATTAATCTTCATGATATTTTTGTAATGTCTCGTACTCCTTTATATATATAGATGGGAAAGATAGAGTTGGCAAGATTAGTGACATGATTGAAGAAAATCAAAGGAATTACATAAAATCATTAACTTGCAGTTCAGATTTTTCTAATCCAGTGCTAATAACCTTAAGAAAGAATAACAGAAATTAACAGTAAACTCTGTAATAATGTTTTCAGCTTTTTTCCTGCTACTTTTTGACTGACCCAGTTAAACTTCATTCTTGAGAGAATGAAGATAATGGAGTGTTGCAGAGATAGACACACCACTTGTTATTTATTGTGCTTAACTTGTTCTCGTCATTTTCAGGTTTATGTCTGATTTTAATTTTTTTTATTTTTAAAAAATAAAACCCCAAAACAGGAAAAGTCAAGCAGTATTCTTCCGCTATTGCAAGATTTTGTGGCAGCTTTCTTTGAGGATACATGCCAACAGCATGGTCCCATGGATCTCCTAAGGTACATTTAGAATGTTTTTTCTACTTAAATTTCAGTAATGTTGGCATTTTCTTGAAAGACAAGACAGTCTAGAACTTCTAAACTCCTCTGTTTTTAGCTTGGCATGTTTTGCTAAAACTTCAGTGGATTATGATTTGGTAGTTTATAAGGTTTATAGTTCTTGTTTGTGCATATACGCTAGATTGTAAAACCACAGGCATTTAAAGATAAAACACCCTGCGAGTTTAATGTCTGGATTTGGGGAATGAAAATCAGTTATATGTATGCCACAGCTGCTTGTGGTTCCACCCCCCCCCCCCCCCCCCCAAAACA